AAAAAAAAAAAAAAAAAAAAAAAAAAAAAAAAAAAAACGGGGAAAATAAATTAACGCATTTTGACCATATATATATATTTTTTTTTTTTCCCCCTTGTATAACCCATAGTCGTGTTCCTTTTGCCGAGCAAACCTTTTTGGCATATTCGTAAGGGCGTGCGTATTTCCTCGCAGGTAACATGAGCCAAGAAGGCGGAAAACAGGTTGCCCAAGTTTAGAGCGAAACTGCTGTAAGTCTGTCACCGGCGAAAATGAACATGAAATGGCAAATCCGAACTTTCACCCCCACACCCCTTTACGTTGTACATAAGGAGCAAAAATAAAAAAAAAACACCCTGAAATATGCAGGGGCAAGTGCGCTCCCAAAAACACACAAAAAGGACACCTCGGACGAACTCTCTACCCCCTTGACAAAAAATATAAAATGATAATAATAATTGTCATATTGATTCTTCTTTTATATCATATATGGAACAAGAACAAGAATTACATCATCAACTTTTACTACATCAATTCGTTCATATGTTTTAACAAAACCAAAAAGGTAAGCGACGTGAAGAAGGAAATGGGAGATTACCAAAAGTATTACAGCGACAGCTATTGAAGAGAGTTCCGTCATAGGCAGGGAAGACGCTCTTCCGGTGGTCACGATCGTGCCTTTGTAAGCATCCTGTTACATGGATATTTGTCAAGCGGACGAACAGGTGATCAAGTGAACATTTTTTTTTTTTTTTGTTTCACCACCCCTTTGATGCACAAATGCATTCGTAAAAGAAGAGGGGAGAAGAGGGCGCATAGGTACTAATTCGTGCAGAATAACTACACGGAGATAATATACAAATTGGGCCGTGTTGGAGAGTTAGTCTTTCCTGCGCCAAGTTTTGGCACCCCGCGACCAGTCGAAAGGGCTGTCTTTTGGACACCCCCCCTTTTGACCAAAAAAGTTGACGCGCTGAATGGGCCGCTGTTATTACGCAGAACACGTTTGTCTCATTTTGTTTTTTGTGTGTATCCATTCATTTCTCCCTTTTTGTGGCTACACTAATCTCCCTCTCTGTTGCGTACATTCAATCGCCCCAAGAGTAACTCATGCGAGTGCGAAAGGGGATACACATAACTAAAGATACAGAGCAAATCATCCGCTTATTGAGGTGCGACTAGTTCATCCCCCCCCTGGGCCTCTCAGCAAGAGGCGTAAACCAAAAATAGCGACAAAATGAGTTCGCTAAAGTACATTGAGAACAGCATCAACTCCAACATCAGAGTTGACGGAAGAACCCTGTCAACGTACAGAACCATCGAAATAAATAAGAACATTTTGGTATCAGCAGATGGCAGCAGCAGCGTCATGAATGAAGAGAACAATGTAATTTGCGGGATTAAGCTATCTCTTTTAACACCCAGTCTGGAAGCGCCGGACGAAGGGGTTATCAATCTGCAGATAGACTGCCCCGCATCGGTAGCTGCAAATAGAATAAAAAAAGATCATTTACAAATTATGTCGTCAATTATTTACGACCTATGCTTAAAAAATAATATTGACCGGAAAAAACTGTGTATTTTACCATCCAAGTTTGTTTGGGGAGTTGACATAAGCATTATGGTTTTAAATGCCGGAGGGGGACTATTGGACATCATCAGCATGGCCATCTATGTAGCTCTAAAGGATACCATCGTGCCCGTTGTGAAACCGAAAAAAAAAATCGACGAATCGGACACCTTTCACCATACAAAATGTGCAGATTACCAAGTCGAAATTGTTGAAAATGAAAAAACAAATTTTCCGTACGAAAATGTACCCATATGTGTCTCCATAGGAGAAATAAACAACAAATATGTGTACGATATGTCTAAGGTGGAAGAAGAATTAGTTGAAAATATTTTCGTTGTCGCTGTTACTTCAAGTGGGAAGTGTGTAGCGTTTCACAAGTTATATGGCATATCTATGGAGATCGCTTCGATACTAAATATGACGGAAAATTCGTCCAAAATTTCACATCATCTTTTTGAGAAAATTAATGAGGCAATTGCAAAAATAGAAACTAGAAGTGTCCTTGTGTAGGGTGGAGACAAAGGGGTTTAACGTTTATTCGGGAGTTATTAGTCCTTGCTCTGGGTTGGGTGTAACTATCGTTAATCCGCAGAGTCAAGTTTGCATACACGAAATAGTTGGCTACACAGGGCTCTGCATTTTAGCCCAATCACTTTTACCACGTTGATCTCATTCGTTTTGAGATTTACGGTTTGGCTAACACACACTTTTTTTTTTTTTTTTTTTTTT